AACCTCACTTCTTCTGATGCAAGTAATGGAAATCTCCAGAGGCAGGTATATATCCGTGTGGAGATAACGAGGGTAGGTCACACAGGGAGGGTGAGGTGCTCTGCTAGCAGCTGAGGTGTGAACACCAAGGGAGGAGAAACTGCTTCTGTAGTTGGATAGCCATTCACAGTCTTTGTTTAATCCTGATCTGATGGTGTCAAATTTGCAAATGAACTGGAGCTCAGCAGTTTCTCTTTGGAGTCTGGTCCTGAAGTTTTTTTAGCTGTAAGATGGCTACCTTTACATCTGCTATTGCGTGGCTAGGGCCCAGAGGAAATTTGCCACAGCCAAAATAGCTGTCTCGATCACCTGAACTACTTCCAAAGACTGGTTCTTTCCTGCAGTTAAGCCTTTTTGGCTTCATTTCTGGGGGAAAAAGTGCCTGGAGTCTTCTCACGCTTGCAGAAGTAAGCGTGATTCTGTAATCCCTTTGGTGATTGTAATTGCCAAGAAATGGTGTTTGCTCTCAAAAGTTTATTATAATTATTTTTCACTTCATTGTCTCAACTCTGCAGTATCTAGTTCCCACAGAGTGGATTCTATTTCACAAAAGAAGTCTCTGCTGCACATGAAAAGAGTACTCTGCCTAAGACGTCTCTAACCAAACAAGAAAGGGTCCCATCTTCATTACAGCCTATCAACCATTAAAAAACCTTTACCTGTGTACAATGCTTTTCTTAAAGCACAGGAAGACACTTCAGTACTCTTCTGACCTTTATATTAGCCAGAATTGGTGCCAGCCAATCGATCGGCTTCAGTTCTTTGATATTTCATGCTCGTTGTAGCCAGTAAGACAGTGAAAGCTTTTCTAAAAAACAAACAAACAAAACCCAGGAAGGATGTTTCAGAGGACTTTGAAAATCCATCTAAATAGCTGTCCAGGCATTTTAAAATTCAACCAAGGATGTCTGTTTCCAATAAGTCATATCCTATAAATGTAACCCTTCTGCCAGGTGAAGACAGCAGCAACAAGGGCCGGGTTCAGTATCTAGGGGTTCCTTTTCAACAGTACAACACAAAACCGGCTCAAGCCCCCACCCAGTGACCTGGGACAATTACATACCATCCCCTGGGTGCCTCTAAGGTGGGAATTAACTCAGCATTAATTTGGGAAAACACTACAACTAGGGCTCATAAACACAAACCGTGAGCAAAAGACCCACCCCCAAGTGTCTTTTTCCCCTGGGGGTCTTAAGTCCAGCAACCCAAAAGTTCCTTTAACGTGCCTGTCCCTTCTCTGCACCCCACTCACAATTGCTGTCCTTGGCCAGTGCAGCCCCAGAGTTCAGAGGTTCATTCACAGAGTTCACTCCCACCCTGTGTGCACTGCTCGGTCACTCGCTTGT